GAGCATATTTTAAAATTGGCCCACTGTGGTAATTTTCTGTATTGGCACATAAAATGTTGGCACGTATAGTTTTCTGTATTGGCATGTAGAGTTGTTAATAATACAAATCATCTGTGCCTTATTGGACATTGGGGTGATAGGAACCTTTTTAAGTTTCCAGGGACCCCAAAGAATAAGCTATTTTACTAAGATTCAAGCCAACACCATCACCACTTTCAAAGATCTAGGTATCTATGCTTTACGGTGTTGAGTTTCTTTCTTTTTAGGGGTTCTCTGCTATTTGGGGGGCCCTTTCAATTTGTCCAAAATAAGTTAATCTAAACAGGAAAACTATCATATACAGTATCAGTTATAAAACAGTTAGACAACTCTATCAAGTCTGTTTTTAATTGAGTGAATATCCTTCCAAGAAAAAGTAAAAAAAGTATATATAAATCAGAAAGCAGCTATTAGCTTAAGTTAAAAAAATGATAGCAATTTATCTTTTGGCCAAATGATGATTCTTACTGGTTCCATTTGGAGTCTATTTTTCTTATCAATTCTTTATGGAGGAGGAATTGTATTAGCCTGTCATTCATATAATACACATAATAGCACTGATGGGGGACCATCCTTCAAGGTCTCTCAGTCAGGGAGCCCAGTCCCCCAAGGTGTTTGCCTGGGTGGCAGCTAAATAGTTGCTGCAACCCCTGTGCTCCAGGGTTCCCAATACAATTGGCCCAGGTTTTGAGTGATGACACTGAGTACCTCCTGGCAATGGTGGTGCTTTACAGTGAGGACATCAAAGTCAAACATTCTGAGCTGTGCGGTTCCTCCTGACATAAAAATGCTTCCTTCATTTCAGACTGTCAAAAGATGAATGTGAATAGGGGAAAGAGCCTGAAGAAATCAACTGGTAACTGTAACATGTATTATTTGCTTTTTTTCCCCAGTAAGAAATCCTTGGGATGTACAGATAAATGAATAAAATAAAGTGTCAATGGAAAAGTCGTGGGTATGTTTTTCCTGTTTTACACACTGCTATAAATGCATGTCTGCTTTAAACAAGTCTTTTTAATAGTAATTTTTAACTGGTATAGATTTTTCCAAGCTCACCATTCATTCATCACCAAAAAGGTGTGTGTGTGTGTGTGTATAAACCTCATAGATAAGGATAAGAAGATAAATATGGAAACTAAAGTAATTTCAATATATGTGACAAAATGTTCATGTCTATACCATAATAGCTGATATTTATGAGTCCTTTCTATGTAATAGACACAGTTCTCTGTGGTTTGCAGGTATAATAATCCCAATGGGTGGTTCTATTATAATTGTCACCTCTTTAAGGGAAAGGTGACTAAGTTACTTACCAATAGTCACAGTTAACAAGTAACAGAACATGAACTTGATCAGTGCATGAATGGTGCCAGTGTGTGAACCCAGGAAGTTTGAAAAGTTTGAATTCAGAGCCTGCTGCTTGCCTTCTGTAGACCCAAAGTCATTTTTTGCATCAATTGTGAAAAATGAACTTCTCTTTATGGAGGAATAAACTGATAATTCCAGAAAGAAGGACTGCAAATAGTGGAAAGAAAGAGAAAGGAAACTGCATGAAAAATGGTGGCTTGAAAATTTCCATCAGATGCATGTTGCTGTGGCCTGTCTGGCACTTTGGTTGAACACCTCTGAGAGCAAGCATCCTCATCCACTCCCTCAGTTGTGCCACAGACCAGTAAGATTCCAGGATTTTTTTACAACATGGAAAAGTTGGAAAATTTTGATCAACCTCTTGGATTCTCAACTTCCTCTTTATAAATGCAAATAATCCAACCATCTCTTAGAGCTGCTAACAAAATTTTGGGCACATGCAACCACTCAAAGTTAACACCTCCCACAACAGTGCTGCCTGGTACACTAGAGAACATGACAGGTGTGAGAGATACTTTATCCCCCTTTCTGCACCCACCAAATGCAATTGTTCTGTGCTAACCCACCATTTGCTAGAGCATTTTTAGTAAAATTGGTGGAAGGTCGGCATTATAAAATATGTGGGCGAACTAGTCTAACTGCAGGCGTGCACCAGCAGAACCCTGAGTGGGATGCTTGCTCCTGTAACTCTTTTCCAGGTCATGTTAAAGTCAGCACTCTCTCATTTCATATTCTACAAAGTAAAAATTTACATATCACACAACAAAAGTACAGAAGCTCATTATTAATACTGTAGTTTGCTATGAGCCAAGAAGCAGATCCTATGGTAAAGCTTTGTCAAAGTATCTACATGTTGCACATATTATACCATTGTAAGAACAGACACATATTTTATGATCTAGTGGGTAGCTTGCTTTGAGCCTCAATCATTGATCATTCGCCCTGCTCTCTGGAAAGAAGAAATGAAATGATGGACAATTACAAAGGGAGAGAAAAGGAGACTCTAAGTCATATCCAAAAGAAACAAATATTAAATGATTTGACAGTAACAATTTGTGAGTCAACAGGGAAGCTTGGTACAGTGAAGTGCAGTGAATCAAAATGATCAAATGATTTTATTAGTTTCATTTTATTAGTCAGATCTATTACCTTTTTTTTATGACCAGGGAAAAACAAAATAATTATAATCAGTTTATCAAGGCAGACCCCAGTGGAAAGTACAGCCCTTCTTCCCTGATTCACTCCAGCCAAGCTGTGCCCACTACCTTTTCAATAGGAATATTTAACCTCCCAATTCATTCACGCCTCATACAGAGGCCATTGGATACAGCAACAAAGGCTTCTCACAAAATGACTTTACAACAGAGAGAAAAATCTAGTGGTTTATTGTATTTAAAAGGCATTGGAGATGGACACTGCTCAAAGCTGAGGGGAAAAAAATCTTAATTTATCTTCAAGCCCCAGACGGTAAATATACTGCCAGCCCTCACAGCAGACACCTTCCTCACACCACTGCCCTCTTTCGCAAGCCCATGAACCTCACCTGGAGTAATCACATTCTCGGTGGGAGAGAGGGGATTCAGTAACCATGATAGCTAATTCCTGGGCCTCCCCTAAGCAAAGACGAACAGTCATTATAAGCCATTCCAAATTATAGATGGGCACTCTGTGATGTGGTCTATTGTAGACAGGGCTGAGACAATTACCGAATGAAAGAAATATTATTATTTTAAGAAACCTAACATTTTAATACAATGTGAAAAATGATGAGGGAATAATAAATGGAGTACATAAAAAGAGCTAATAATAAAAAAGAGCTTGGTGAGAAATCCCGCTGTCATATTTGCATTTACCCTGAAACTAATGCCATGCACATTTCTGAATGCAAATAATTCACGAGAGGAAGCAAAATGAGGATGTTAATAATCATTTTTTCCTTAATGAGAAGCTGTTCTTTGACTGAAAGGTGCTTTAAGATGGACTAAGTGAGGCTTAACAAAAGGGTCCTTTTTTTGGAGCAATGCATAAATGAAGGCAGTTGAGTTTTATTCAGGGATTTAAAGGCAGCAGCATTAATATTATCATCACAAATATTATTTCTACATTTTTTAAATAATAAAAATTCACCTTGTCAATGTAAAATTCCCCCTTGTACTGATTTTAGCTCAAAGTGGCATTTATTATAGGGTTTCTGGGAATCAAAAGCACCTTTCAGTATTACTTCCAGCCATGCTATACCTCTACTATTTTTAATAATAATAACTAATGGGGGGGCACAGGGGCTAAAGTCTCAGTGCTATCAAGCTATCGCCAGCCACAATGGCATAAGTTCAATTCCCTGCCAGGGAGCTATCCCACATGACGCAGCAGACCTCTCCTGTCTCACCCGCTGCTCCCCTCAGCAGTGTATTTCAGTAGACCTTCCTGTTCTGCTCCCTACTCTGTCTCTGCTGAATCCTCTCACCCCTTGCACCTCTGGCCTACACGCCAGTTCTTCTATGCATAAATAAGCAAAAATAAATATTAAAATGAATATTAATAACTAATGTTAACTGACTGCTGTTATTGTCTGGGGCTGTATTATGTGATTGACAAGGGTCACCCTCACCCCAGCACTAATGAAACTCCCAGAGATGGAGACAAAATTTTTTTTTAAAGATTTATTTATTTATTTATACAAGAACCAGGGTGCAGGCCAGATGCACAGGAGGGTGAGAGGATTCACCAGAGACAGAGTGGGGAACAGAACAGGCAGACTGATGAAATACACTCCTGAGGGGAGCAGCGGGCAAGACAGAAGAGGTCTGCCGCACCATGTGGGACCCTCACCGGCCAGCCGGGGTTGAACTGGTGCTGCAGAGGCTGCTGACAGCTTCACAGCATGGCACTCTACCATCTGTGCCACCAGGGGAGGCCCGAGATGGAGCCGAAATTTATCCAAGAAAACCAGTGAGTAAGCAGAATGTATTAAACTCAGGGGACTAAACTGCCCTTTCTACCATGGTAGTTACTATCTCTTTTGATTTGTGAGCAAACCCAAATGACATCAGTAACATCTGTTAAGAAGGACACACAGTGACACCTGCTCACAATGCATAAGCTAGAGATGCTATTCTCTTCAAACTATGCTTAGCACCTCTTTTCTAACTTCCTTCCTTCAAGTAGGCTGCTAAGTAAGGGAGAAAAATGTGTAGAGCAGAAGTTTTCAAAATCAGCCCCAATTATACATCTGTGGCTCTAGAAGCACCCCACTCAGTTTGATTCATCACAAGATTTAATGATCTGACTACCAATGGCATTTCAATTTCTATTATTGAAATGCTTCCTTCTCAACAGCCAACCATTTCAACATGCTTTCCTGCCAGCTGCATTGCTACCGAGATAGCATGGTGTAGGAGCTGTTAACAGAGTATTACAGTCAATGTATGCTGGGAGACAATTCTCCAAGGGTCTTTCACATGTCTGAATTTCTTGCCAGCAGTGGCATTTATGAGATCAGAATTATCTTTTCAAACATTATCAAACAGCAAACAGTCTTGGAAGATCAAGATACCATCTCCCTTCAGAGTAAAGGTAATTATACTTACTGCCCATTAAAAAAGGTTTCCTTCCTCAGCTCAGGGTTCCCATAACACAGCTCATTCCAATGCAGGTGACAGCTGGCACTCTTCTCATCATTCTGTAGGAAGTAAGGTTCAGGAAAATGCTGTTACTATGACTACTTTTATTAATACTAGCAATAGCATCCTTTGTCTCTGACCAAGGGTTCTCAAGTTCTGTAAGTATTCATGAAACTATAGCAAGCCAACGTATTAGCTAGCAAAGTGTAAGTCTCACATACTTCATTCTTCCTGACAAGGCCCATATTGGAACCCTGGCTCTTTTGTTTACTAATTAAATGATGATAAGAAAGCTATTTAAACTCTTCAAGACTAAGTTTACTTAGCTTTGGGGAAAGCCTTAAGAGTTTAAGTATAACACAATATAATAACATGTAATTCACACATTAGTATAATGCCAAGCACAGAGAATGAGCTAAATAAATTTGCCTGCTACCTACTATGGCTCTTGTGTAATGAAGGAATTACTTGGAACCAGGAATCAACCCCCATTCTCCATTCTGTTTGATCTCAAAAGTTACTGTGCTCATCCAGGACTTGATTTTATCCACTATAAATTGAGACAGGTAAGTAAGGTAACCTCTAAGGGTCCTCTTGGCTTTAAATCTGAAACTTTGTCCAGCTTCTCCTCACCATCATCATTCTCTCCCTTAAAAGCACTTTCTCATCAGATTTTCCCAAGGGTATAATGAGATCAAGCACAGGGTCTGATTGGAACTAGAATGAAGCCTTGGCTTTGATCTACAGGAGAAAATCTGGCTGCCACGGAAGAGGGAGTTCCTTTGCTAAGGCCAGCTGAAGACAAAGCTATATAGTACTAGGGTCACTGATAACTAAAAGAACCTCTAATTTTAGGCTTTTCTCTTTAGCCCATAACCAGCTGTCTTTCCTGTTGAAGTTAAAAGAAGGGCAGAGACCATGAAAATGTAGAAGAGGCTGGGTATCAAAAATAGTGAAATATAATCAATAACTAGACTTCTTGCCTCATTCTATATTGCATCTGAGCAAGAAGACAAGTCCAGTCCTGCACACAGGAGACCATGTGATTCAGATTCATCTACCAACTGTCTCTAGGTCTCTGTTCACTGCTGGTACTACAAGAACACTGAACGAAGTGACACTAAGTTCCCTTCTGACCTTATAATTCTATGATTAACATCACTGAAACTTCTCACCTATGTAAATAATTTATCTGAATAGATGACTAAATTTGCATTAACCCACCATGGCTGAGAAATTAAATGAAGTGACAGAAAGCTCCAGATTGTACATAACCAGTAGTGTGTAACTATTGAACTCTCTCTGTCATCTTGACCTGGATTCTACTTTAGTTTCAATGTGCAGTCCAGCCTAAGGTGTGTCAGGTCTGGGTTCTGATGGGCAAGTCTTTGTGCATGTAAATATTCCACTTTTGGCCCATTTGTCCACATTGAGTGACTTTTCCAATAGCAATGATGCCCTTGCTCTCTCTTGCCCACAGATAGCTACTTTGTTCTTCTTAGAGTCAAGATGCACATGAGATGATTGACAGAATGAGGGCAAGCATGTGGAGTGGTAGCAAGGAGCACAAAGTAGACTGGACAATGACCAAAGCTCAAGGATGATCTCATTAACATTAAATTTCTAACCCACCAATGTCAGGAAATATAACTCTAATAATTGCAATGAAAAACATACCAGGTTTCTTCTCACAGCACATCATTGATATTTTTATTTTAACACTTAGCAAGATATATCCTTTTTAATATTTTGCAGTGCCTAAACTGATTTCTTCTGGACTACATCATTTTTATCTTTGCACCCACCTCTGTTATTCAATGTAAAATGCTTTGGAGCTGAGAAAGCCTGGTTTTAGATTATGGCCTTGCCATTTGTTAATTGTGTGACTTTAGGCAAGTATTTTAACCTCTCGGTCTTAATTACTATATCTGTGCAGTTAACATAGCAGTACCTACTTCACAGAGGGGCTGTTAGAATTTAGTGAAACAGTTTCTAAAATTCCAGGTACATTACCCAACATACTGTGAGATTTAATAAATTGTTTTATTATAACCAATCATCGTAAATATTTATTGAATAAAAGTTGTGGTTTCTTGATTGTTTACCATGTACCAGAACATAAGGTATTACTCCACACAAACTATATAAGAACTAGTATAGACCTCATTTTAAAAGCTGGAGGGACTGAGAAGAGAGAGAAGGAAATATCACAGGTCCCACTGTCAGTAAATATCAGAGCAGAATTTAAACTTATGTATTCATTCTCACTCAGAACCCAAGCTCCTACTAGCACACAAATAAACAAATGATTTGATTTCAGTAGAGATAGGGGTCCAAAGAGAATAACAGATGACTTGTTATGTTCTATAATCTTAAATCTCTTTATCTAGAATTATGCATCTAGCCATATTTACTAAATTTCTGTTACCAGTTTCAAAAGTCTTGAAGACATGGAAAACACATTCTAAATAATCTACTGCACAAATTAGTATGCAAATATTTCTACATTTTTTTGAATGCCAATGTCCATAGACAGAAAAAATAATTAGAAAGTTCATTAAATTTCCTTTGGTTTATATTTCAATGTCAGAGACATAGTTAAATATCATGCAATAGTTGTTTTTCTTTTTTTCTGTAAAAGTATTTGCTGTACTGGTCCCTGGAAGAAAAGAATGAAATGCAAAATTCTAACTGACAGATGGAATTTAAATACAGCTTTCTTATGAATAACCATTATTAAGCATACTGAAGAAATCTTTCCAGTAAAAAAGATATGTTTTTAACAGAGTTTGTTTGAAGAATTCATTTGCAAACAGTTCTTTGTAGTAAATCTTTGGCCCTCTTCCTATATTTTAAGGCTTTTCTCTTTGTTTTTCTTTGAAGATAGAGCAAAATGGGTTATAAATCTCCATAATGTAAGAAATACATTCTAATATAATTATTCAACCACTAGAAAAATCTTTTGATGCTTTAGGTTAAATAATAAAACTACAATTCAAGATGCAATGTCATTCATCATTCCAATAAGAAAAAAAAAAGTTTATTGTTCTCAGTGCTTTATGAAAGAAAAACCAAAACAAGGAGAAACATTTGCAAGATCTGAGAAGAAGTTAAGAGAATAATGTGAACCTAGCTGCTCCATGTCTCTGGCAGTGTGCAAAAGAAACAAATATTAAAATCAAAATAGAAGTTTTCTTTTTCTCAATTGTATAACAAACTAAGACAGATGATCCCAATTGGCTAGTTAGCCTACATTGGTATCACAGAGACCCAAGCTCCTTCAAAACTTGTGACTCAGCCATCTAAAGGTCTGCTTCCAGCAGACAGAAAGAGGAACAAGTGGAAATGGCATGCCATTTTTTCAAAAGGTCCAGAACTGGGGGCACAAAAGGTTAAGTCTCAGCACTATGAAGCTAATGGCAGCCACTGCAGCAAGAGTTCAGTCCTGGCCAACTAACCCACATGGTGCAGCAGACCTCTCTTCTCTCACCCACTGCTCCCCTCAGCAGTGTATTTCAGTAGATCTGCCTGTTCTGCTCCCCACTCTGTCTCTAGTGAATCCTCTCACTCCCTGCACCACTGGCCTACATCCCAGTATGTATGCATAAATAAATAAATATTTGTTAAAAAGGTCCAGAAATGGCACATATCACCCCGACCACATTCACATTCCTATGGATTGGAACTCCGACATATTGTTACACATCAATACAAAGAAGCCTGGGAAATACAGTCTAGCACAGGAAAAAGAGCAAGTATTTGATTAATAGCACACAGTCTTTTCCACACTTTCTGTGGCCTATTATATCCACATCACTCCAGAGGTGAAAGAATTCAAACATAAAATTTCTAAGGAGTCCTGTGATAGGTTATTTTTTTTGTTTGTTTCCATTAGGCCTTTTTAAAACACCCCATGTTCCAGAATATTATAAGCAATAATTTACTTATTATACAATAATATGATATAGGATAACTAGAATCAATGTGCATTTCTCTTTGTTCCATAAATAAAAAGTCTTCTCATTTTGGACAATTTTTGCCAGAGTTCTCTTTTATTTTATGAGAATAAGAATATTAAATGATTAGGGAAATAGAAATGCTATTTCTAATAACATCCCACATTCAGGAAGGTCAACTCCTACACCATTCTATTTTAATGAAAACACTTTTCTAAAGATGTACAAAGGAGATTCCAGCAAGTCCTTCCTTGGATGTCCAACAACCCTCACTGTCAGGAAATTCTTTCTTGTCGTTAATTTAAATTTGTTATCCTATAGCTTAAGCCCAGTTTTTTTTTGAATTTTTCTTACACATAGAAAACAGATGTTCTTTTATGTTTAGTGTATTACACATTCCCATATTTCTACATTTAGCCTTCTCCTTAGCAAACTGAATAATTCCAGAACTTTTCCCCCACAGGTCCCATGCCCAAACTCTTTAATTGCATTTATAACTCTCCTTAGAAATCTCTCCAACTTTCCCATGTTCCCTTTCAGTCCTCATGGTCCAGAATGAGATCCTCATAACGTAGCCAATTTTAATAAGTACCTACTCTATGAGAGGACAGCATACATAGAAAATCAATCTAATTCCCAAGAAAATGATATCCTATCAACATTAAAATAAAATCTCATCACTATATTTTATACTTTTCTTGCCAGTTGCTGCTTTCACATTTGTCAGCCCTAAGGCATAAGTCTTAGCTCTGTCCAAGTTTCCAGTTCCAGAATTGGCAAAGCCATATAGTTCCTTCTCAAGTCATCCTTATCTCAGAGAAGTCAACACTTTTCCCCACAAATGTTCTGAATCTTTCACATGTTCACAAGGAAGGCACTTCAAATATTTTGCATTTCAATGGCCCCTTACATTCTACAAAACGCTTTAACTGTATAATGTCTTCTCATTGACCCTTCACAACAATCCATGAGGTAAATTACACTTTTCATTTGAAAAAAAAGAGAATCCCAGTGTTTGTTTTAACACAACTGACTAGTTCTTGAAAATAAAAGGATAACATTCAACTTCTGTCAATGTGAATAACATAATTTGAAAAAGAGAC